TTAAAACGTCTACAGTCCATCCTGCTGCATATTTACCTTTGTGTTGCATCACCTCTTTCAGCACAAGCAGAGGTGAAGCCAGAAAAAAAGACAAAGAGGAGCTCCATGGGTGCAGTTAGAGAGGACACGGAGGGGGCTGGAGTGAGGACAGTGAGACGTAGGAGGATGACTCGCTGTGGAGACCCCTGAAGAGAGAACAGTCGAAAGAAAAGAAGTAAGCAACAGTCCCGCTCACCTGTGGTTTTCACACATTTTGATCATTTTCAAAACTTCTTCCTAACTAATTGAAGTAATCAGATAAAAAAAAAAAAAAGTTCTGAGCGAATTTTCTCGATACGTTTGCTGCTTATTTGAAGCTCTTACGTTTATTTTTTAACTGTGGAGTTTTAACTTGTGCACCACTGTCTCAGATTAAAGGTACTCAATGCAAAATTAAGAAGACTCGACAAAAAAAAAAGATAAGACCAAAAAAAAAAAAAAAAAAATCAAAATGAAGTAATAAAAATAATTCACACAATATTCTTTCACACGGTTTCAGTTTCAGCCGAGTGCTTTGTTTACGTCGAACGCATACCCTCATTTCAGATTTACATTTCTGGAAATCTACTACAGCGGCACTGTTTGATATAGTTCAAGATAATCTTTTTTATTTAATCTCTTAGTGTGCCATGAGTACATTCTTGCATTTACACCTGATGTAAAAATAGAAATGGATCTATCCCATGTGGTATGAACTTGCTCATTATCATGACTTCAAAAGGAGGATGCAAAATTTAAAAGGCTGTGACACACCTAACCTTACACCGTTCTCATAATGAGAAGCTTAATTTTAGCTCGCAGATGGCTTCAGGCCGACTGTGGAGGTGTGGGAACAGAAGTCCACCTGCTTTAATGCACTTACTGGATTTATTTAGGGTTAAACTGGTCAAGTTTGCACTGAACGGGCTGTGTGCTGCTGTCGTTTCTTCATTACTTGACAGAATATCGTCTTAAATTCTCATTATAGAAACTAGTAGAGGAAGGGTTTGTGTGAGAAACACACCTGTTGATGAATAATAACTGGTTTAAACGCAATTTTTCTGTTCAGCGTTCACATTTGAGGGGTTATCGTGTTTATTTCCCAATCCTGACGTTCTAGTTGCACCTCACAATGTTCCTTGAACAACTTGCTGAAATAAGTTAATTATGCAGTGCCATTCCACCCTTACTCATTTATTAAGTTAAAGCCAATTGGTGACTTTTATTTTTCATTTTTTTAAGGCCTGTCTGTCCATTATATTGTGCACATCCAAGCCCTCTGACAACCAGCACACAGGACGGCAGAACATTGTGTGATGTGACAGGAAGTGACTCTTTTTTTTTACACAAATTGATTTAGATTTTTATCAAAACTTGTTCCAGTAACACATTGTTCCTACTTTTTACTCCAGTAGAGAGGGAAGTTAATATGTAGAGAAATGTGTTTCATTTATCATCTGTACAGTGGTCATCGATGGCTCCCTGTGATTTTTTTAAAAAAAGGGACAAAATTAATTTATTTGCTGCATTTTTCCCTCCTGATTAATTTGAGTCTGAAGGAGCGAACGTATCAGATTTCTTTTTGATAGTAATTTCCTTTTTTACAACGTTTTCCACAATCGATTTAAATAGTGACTTGTTGTCAATCGTTATTTTTTATATACACATTGTATTTGTTCTTTTATATGTCCATGGCTTTATTTTAGCCATGTTCTTTATAAACTAGTTGTTTTTTGAGATACAGTGCATCCTTGAAGGTTAAAACAACTTCCACACGGCATAAAACAGAACAAAGCAAAATGGCCAGAGGTTTCTTCTCTTTTTTTTTTTTTTTGCAATAATTTAGTTTGTCAGCTTCGTTTACTCCCAAAAACAAAAGGGATATAATATTGGACATGCTTGTTTTCAGATGGTGAAAACTTTGTTTAAAGCTGTTTTCTTGTTAAATCTTTATCCTGCAAGCCTCTCTGCTGTGGTTCACCAACAGATTTGGCAAAGTGCTAACTTATTTTGCTTGTAGTCTGTTACATAATTTGAAACGTGTTTAATACCATTGTTCTTTCAGCTTGATCTTTTTTTTAAGAGACAATATTTGCATGCAGAATTAGCTGGTGTTTAATTAAATCTATTTGTTCTTCCACCAGTAAATGTTCAACTGGCTGCAGCCCAAGTTCAAATCAATCCACTGTTCGTTCCCCAGCTGCCTAACAGTTGGTGAGGTGTTGTTCTCATACAATCTGCATGTTCTTTCTGAAAACATACACTTGTGTTCATGTTTTCTATTTTAATTTATGTGGTGAGGATGCAGAAAAGTATATACTGTATGTATTTCCTTTAGATGTTATTAGCTGCACATCAGTGCGCTGCCAGTTTGATCAGTCCTTCAGGATATATGTCGCTATCAAAATGTGTTTAAAAATGCTCCTTTTGGACTTTCAGAACAAAACTTTGCTCCCACGATGCTCTCTTGCCTAAATGACAAATGACCACTATGTTCCTACAGATTTCTACTTTGTTTGCTCAGCAGACGGCTGTTTAACATCAATCGGTCTTAATTAATCATAACTGGCAATATGGCTATCGTCTCATCAAGGTACATAACTTTAGTTCATGTTAGAGTTCAGGTCTGCTCACAGAACTAAAAGAAAAATAAGAATACAAATATTTGTTTGTCTAAAAATGCTCAGGCAAAGGAAAATGTTGTTTTTGTCTGAACTATTTGTCTACTTATTGTTTAATTCAGTGTGAAGGTTTTATCCTTTGTATTAGTATTACAAGGTTCAAACACATATATTTAGTATTTTAATAATTACAATTTAAAATAGTAAAATAATAATTTAGTGCGAGTTGTTCAGTGGAAAGATACTTGGTTTATTGCAAGTCAAAAATCTGATATCTCTGTATTAGTGGTGAGACAGAAGAAGCAATGAAACATGGTTATTTAAATTAACTGATATGCTAGAAAAGGATAAAGTTATGTCAAATAATGTCTATAGGCTGCATATTTGTGTTTAAATTTATGATAATAGTCATCCTAAATATCCTGGACATCATTTTGAGTTTGAACACAAATCTGTCAGCATCAGGCCTCACCTGACTCACTTCCTGTTCATCTGACTGCAATGTTTAAACATGGCCACTAGGTGTCGCTGATGCTCCATAGAAGCTGAAGCCTTTGACTGAAGTTGGACTCAGAAACTTTTAGAAATCCCACAACCATTTGAAAAGTTTATTTTCTACCATACACAAACTGTACAACACAGCGCATATCTGTTTATTATGAAATAGTAAAAGTAATAGGAAGTTTCAATTTACAAACTACTTCAACTGAAATAAAAAGCATTGCATTTGAATGTAAAAGAAAGAAAACAAAACGAAAATACAGTACAATTTCATATCATACTAATATCGTTCCACAAAAAAAAAAAAAAAAAAAAAAAGCATTTCACATTACAAAACATCAAATACTAACAGGGAAATAAAAATAAATATTATTCACAAAACTTCCTGAGCAAACAATGTGTGGTATAGGAATTAAATGTAATAAATTATAAATAAAGGATTGCTAGTTTTAGAGTGATTAATTAAATAAATTAAAAAAAAAATAATTCTTTGAAACATTGTATTTGGACAAAAGAGGGTCTCATTTGTCTTTAATTTGTCTGTTTTTTGCTGTTCCACTGTTCCACAGGCTACAAGTTTTTATTTATTTTTGTAGAAATAAATAATATATTGCTTTTATGATGTATTAATTTGGACTAAATTTATTTAAAATGTATCGTGGCATAAAGTTTCTACAAAGACCTTTTTCCTTTGCATGGAAACCACTTTTTTCTTTACAAAAAGTGCAATTAATTAAACTTAATTAAAACAACCAACCAGTTTTAAGCTAAACTAAAATTCAAGTTGAGGCTGTGTTTGGAAATACTTAGAAAACTTTTAATTGTGAAGTTTTGTTGAAACGTTGAAAGGATCTTACATGAAACGGGTGTTGATTATTTTTGTCCTGTCTTTCCTAATGCTAGCAAAAACAATCAATTAACAAAAACAGCAGATTTTAATCTCAGTCGTGTTTTAAAACCTGATCAGGGAGTACAGCTACTGAACGCACAGTATTCAAACAGTCATCAGGAACGAGTCCTCCTATGAAAATAATTGTACTGTATAATAAATCAGACACCATCCACATAATACTGTCCTACCACAAAACAAATACTTGTATACTTTTATGGGTTCATATACATTTAGGCACATACTATATGCACACTCCAAAGTGTGCACAGAAGGCAGTTTAATATCTATATGTTTTTTTTTTTTTAAGAAAGACATCTTGACAAAGTGAATTTTTGTGTTTCGTTGCACTCTTCTTGGGACATTCAGATCACGGCGAGGTTTCATTCTCGTCACCTTCTGGGTGCATTCAGCTGTTCTTACTGGTGCAGTAGAAAAAGGTACAGTACTGTCGCATTGCATTAATATTTTCTCTCACTTTGCCTTGCAATACATTCAATTTCCAATAAAGAAAGCAAAAGCAACGCTTAAAAATATGGTCGTTTTGGTCGATTTTTCTCCTCTTTTTGAAGGGACTCGTGATACTTTAGGCTTGTCGACAGTAGATGGCGAAAGTACGCCACAGAACCGGAATGTGCATTCTGTGTAATGTACAATGTGCAGAAAGTCAAAAAGAGATTTCTCCAGTATTAAGCATTTACAATTCAATAAATAAATAAAACTCGAAGAAATAAATACACTGATGAACAAATATAATAATAAATAGCGATAATATAAGAATGACGCGAACACATACAGCTTAAAAATCAAGCAAAGCATACAAAATAATTAAGTGCAAGAAGAGGGGTGTAAAAAAAAACAAAAAAAACAAAACAAAATCCCACCAGGAATAAACGTGTCGAGTGAACGCAGAAACGGTAAAAAGCATTACAAATCTGGCTGGTAATTTTCTCAGTGCAGTGTGTGTGTGTTTACGGGGAAATGCCGAACACATTTCCAAAATGCCTCGCCTTATACACGCAGCCGAGCCAGCACTCTTCAGTGAATCAGAGCTATCTAGTGCCATCATCCCAAGTCAAAGAAGCCTCTTGGTAGCTCGACAGCTTAAACATGGATGCCCTTAATAGCCTGTTTGATATTATCCAAGAGGGCCTTGCACTCTGGGGAGTATTCGTGCTCCGAGTTGTTGTACATATCAGTTAATGTGTTCACATAGGCTTCAAAATTATGCTCGCTGATGGGTCCCTGCAACAACAAGAAAACATGATGAAAACGGCACAGGAGGAACGGCAATTGGAAGGATGTGAGATTTCTTTCAGGGCAGGTTGTGTTTGGCGGTGTGTGGTCAAGGCTTACTGTACCATTTGAGGCAGCTGGATGTCTGTCAGACTGTTAATGAGAGCTTGGCTGAGGCGAGCGAGCTCCTTCAGAAGGCTGTCGTTGTGCTGCTCGATCATCTTGTTTTCCTCCTCAATTGTCTTTAGGTTACATTCCATTGACGAGATCTGCTTTCGGGTACAAAACGAGAAGCAGATTATCAATTTAAGACGGCAATAATCCCCCCCCAGTTTATTTTATTTTATTTTTTTTGAGTATTTAAGATGAGCTTGTGGGAGTAAATACTTACCTGGGTTTGCAGTTGCATCATGTCTTCTTCTATTTTCATGTTGGAATCATTCAGCTCCATGATTTCGTGATCCAGATGTTGAATGTCCTCTTTGCTTTCAACACCTTTTTGACAAAAAGACAAACTTTTTTTTTGGTCGTATTTCATAAGAAAATACGATCGTTTTGCTTCAATCCATAGAAAGAGTCAGTTGAAATTTTTTGACGCGGCATTCCGTGAAAAGGCTATGAACTAGTGTTTTTCCTGCTGTACGAAGCTCGTGAAACAGCCTCAGTTTGGAGAAATAAAAGTTTAATTGACTGGATTCATGAGCTAACGTGAGTGAGCTACTACCTTAAAATAACCTCAATCCTAAACATTTAATAGCACGTACTGCAAATGCAATTTTATAAACTTTTTGCCACATTCAGTTTCAAAAGACACGGCTAATCCAACAGAAATATGATATCCCAAGGCTGCACATTGAGTGATGCAGCTGGCTACAGCTGCAGATGTTCTCTGAGTATTATGTTAATAAAACAGCTTTGAAACATCACTATAAAACCTTTAATATTGAAGTTACTGTAACACATCAGCAATCAGCTTGGCTCTGCTCATCAGTTCTAGGTAATTGTTTATAACCTTTCCACAAAACCCCACTTCAAAAGATCTGAACTATCTCTTTACTGTCGCAAAATCCTTCAGAACATTGTCGTTCAGGGTGATGGTAGCTTACCACTGCTGGCTTTTAGTTTGATAGTCATCATCTCCTCCTCCGAGTGTTTTTTCTTGATGCTCAGTGCATTCAGCGGGCAACCTGACAAGCTAAATCAGCAGAGCTGTTTTAGTTAAATTAATACATTAAAACCAAATCTACAATTTGTATCCTTATATATTTTAACTGTTAAGAGATTTATAAATTTTTTGGAGGGGAAAAAAGGCAACGTTACCTTCGATGAGTGGCAAATACATTATTGGCATGGCCGAGACCATTGCAGCCAGGCAGGGGACAATGGGGCAGCTCCTGCTTAGTGGCCTTCCAGGCAAAGGGCAGCCCATTCATAGACGACTCCTTCTGTCTTTTGGCAGCAAGTGGACAACTGCCTGCGCTGCGGTGGGATGTGTATTTTCCCGATATATGGCCCTGTCCATCACATCCGATTACTGGACACCTACCAGTGAGACAGACATTGAAAAGCTGCACGCACAACTGAAAAATGTATCAAACTTGGCAACAAATGTGTGCTGTTTATCTGGCAACCGCACCACAAACAACTACTTTTTTTTATTTTTATTTTTTAAACTGCAAATAAACTAAAAGAAGGAGCATTTCAAAACAATCCCTTTCACTAACTAGACCGGAAGATTTGTTAACCATTAACTTGATTAATCCATCCAAATGCTGATTAAAAACATGTTCACCAAAACTAGAGATGGACTCAGATAATCACATTAGCTACGAAAGTTACTAATCCGCTCAAACTTGGGCTGGAGTGTCCGCTGCGCGCTGCTGAGTGCACGCATTTTGGTGTTTGTGCCGGAAAACACGAACACAACTGGCGCTGAATGTCATTAAGAGTTGCATTTTCAGGCCCCGTTTTCTGCAGGTCGGTAATGGAGTGACATGAATTACAGATAATTGTCATGTTTCCCCCCCTCATGCGAAAGAATGTAATTTGGAGGTGGCTAACCCGTTCCCTTATTGGTAAAGGTGAAAGGTCGCCTGAGATGATACAAATGGCACCCGTGCTGTAGAGTGCTGCTGCGAAAAGCCTGTTTCAGCATTTTGTTCGCAGCACTTACAGGACAAAACAACACCAGTCCCATTACTTACATCTACCACAGGTAGCTAGCTTGATGCAGACAATGGAGGCATGCCATATGGCCTACTATTTACAATAATCTAGGGACATTTGTTACCCTCCCCCCTTTTCTCTCTCGTTTCTCTCGATGTGTATGAGATCTACTCCAGTCTAATTCCTAAGCTCGTGGCCTTGCATTAGTAATTAAAAAGGACCAAAGATAAATAAATAAATAAATCAGTGTCCAGATGTAGAAGTAACCAAGGGCTCAAATATCAGACTTTGAGTTTAAACTCCAAATCAATCACATTACGCTGCGTTCGCAAACAACGGCGATTAACGCGAACGAATGTCGAACGTTTTCTTCATATAATCACAAAGAAAGCACTCAGAGACGAGTGATATTCCATTCAGAAAAGAGGAGCATAAAATAAAATAAAAATTCTGATAATCCGTCAGAAAATAATTTACTAATGTAACAAGAGAGTATTAATTTCTTTGTTTAACTTAATGGCCTGCAGGTGTAATGCACAAACAGTTTGGTTTTATTTTAAAAATGGAAACTTGACAGCAAGATGAGGACAAAAAGAGGAAAATCTCTTACTTAAGCTCCTGCTCCTCTTTGTCATCCTTGTTTGGTGTGAGCTTCAAGCCTCCCTTCCTGGCGCGTGGACACCCTGACAAGCTGAAAATGGTTGGAGACAGTGAAGGAAAGCTTAGCAGCTAGAATCAGACAGCAGGAACAAGACTTTTAAAAGTCCTGCCCAAGTAAAAATAAATAAATAAAGATTGAATCTGTATTCAGATAGATGGATGGATGGTTAAATATGCAGCCGAATTATGCATTAAAAAAACCAAGAAATTCAAAAGTGCAGCATGTTTGCTGTATAAAAGTGAGACTTTCACCATCTGTTTGAATGCCATGCATCTGACAAATACATTTCATGCTCGGTGGTGATGATTTTTTTCCCCGCTACCTTCTGTGCGAAGCATAGTTCCCAGTCACATGTCCAGATCCATCACAACCAGGTGTTGGGCACCTGCAGGTTGAGAGACACAGACACCAGGTGTTTTTTTTGTGGATTTTTTTTTTACTGGGAAGGGAGAAAAAAAACTGCGAGCAGAGCAGTGGATTCATGCTAATGTGCAGAAAAGTAGCACAAATAGCAAAACAAGTTCATGTTGAGTACATGGAAATCTTGCATAATGCGTAACAGGGAAAGAAATGGGAGGGACAGATAGCACGGGGAAAGAAGAGGACAAGCTGCTTAGTTTTACATGAAAAGCTTTTTTTTTTTTTTTTTTTGGAAACACGTACTTTAGTTCCTGAGAGTTGGCTGCCATCAGTGATTTGAGTGTTTTGTCAGCCAGGGGACATCCAGACACACTGGAGAGGATAAAGAGCTAAGAGTCATTTTAATTCACTCTTTGATCACAGTTAAATATTAATACAATGAGTCAATATACAAAAAAATAAAAAATAAATTGTTTGGAAACACAACTCTGCTTCCTCACAAAGGCTTTGTGACGCTGCCTGCTTTTAAAATGAATTCACCGCCACAGTTTGTGACGTTTTTTTTCATGATAATTAAACAATAAGCGCTCTTTCGGTTGTCTACATCTTCAAGCTGGTGCTAACGAGTGTAATTAATTGCCGTACCTCCGATGCGATGCGTAATTCCCCGTCACGTGGCCACTGCCGTCACAGCCCGGGGTCGGACAGCTGCTTGGGAACACAAAGCATTTCAGACGCAGATTATTCCACTTCCTACAGACTCTACGAGCTCGAGCTGAACGTTTATTTTACACTGAGGACCTTTTCATGAGAAACAAGAGTTAGTACAGCGAGAAGTTTAGTAGAAGTTCATGATCGAATTAACTTTCAGGGTTTTTTTTGTAGCGTCTCCGATTATCAGTCTCAGAGGGGAGGTGTTTGTGAAACTAAAGGATCCTACGTTTGTTTGTTTCTTGTTTGTGTTTTCGTTGTTGTTTTTCTTGTGAGGAGACCCAGAGGTGCATGCACTCTAACTACAAGAGTCAAAAGTTGTGCGAAGCAGGACATACAGGGAGAAAACTCACTTTGAAAAAGATAAATTCTTCTCCACATGAACCTGCAGACAGTGCAACACAGCGAGCTTCACTTGACCCACTTGAATCAATCTGCTCTACACTTCCAAATTGTTTATTAATTATACTGACCATCTGCCAGCTATGAGGGGAGATCAGATCACACATACCTGACTGAGTAAAGATGCTACAAGATGGTTCAGTGTTTGACAACCTACCTCAGAAGCTCTTTCTTTGAGTCTCGTAACAGCAGCTTGGCTTTGGGGCTTAACATACTGCCGTCTCCTGGATAGTGTTGGTCCTCCAGGGACACCTGATCATAATCCTCCTGCTGAGAGAGACCAAATAACAACAAGGCTTTTACTGTCCTAAATGTCAAAACTCGCTCTACCGTGACCTAAAAGTAAATAATTAAGGAAATCCCCGTGTAATACTCTTAAAACACTTGCTCAGGTCAGAGTGCAAGACAAAGAGATTATGCCGAAGGATTCTCATACATCCATTTAAAGTCTGACTTAATCCACGGTGTAGTGCGGATTTTCTTTATGCTTCAACAAACACCATCGTCCAGTTGGATGTTTTGTGCCATTTTAAAAACAAAGCAGTGTGATGACCTGACATGGAAGCAAAATTAAACTTTTAGAGTTCAGATTAGGATTCGTTCAGACCCTCCTGGTCAACAATGTGGAGTACAGATTAACACTTGTCTGACTCGATCTTTTAAAATGTCACCATTAAAAGCATTATGTGTCAATCATCGAGGAAATCGAGGAATAAAATTCTAGTGAGTAAATAGAAAGCTGTAGTCTTTATAATAGTTAAGATCAGGGGTTCTCGAACTGTGAACCGCAGCTTTGGGGTCCGCAAAAAAAAAAAATATATATATATATACTGTATATATACTATATATATACATTTTTATTTTTTTTACAAGCTCGTAGATGTTTAACAACCTGTTAAAACTTAAAACACACCAAAATGCAGGAAATTGCATCTACTTTATTTAAAAATTTCTGGGAGAGGACCCCCAGACCCCCTGCACCCCACCTGCTATGTGCGTTCCGGCATCGACGGGTTTACAAATGAAGCCCTGTTACTTGGTATGACTATCGCTGTTGTGATTCTGTTCAGTTTTCTGTAAAGAGTTTTCTGTAATAATAATGTGAAGAAGTGACAATACATTTATTATCTTCATTATGTGAATAGGTAAAGTTTTAAAGTGGTTTTTAAAACTGTTAATTTTCTCAAAACTGTAATTTTTGGAAGTTGAAATTAAAAATTTTGTTAATTATGTGTGTCTTGAATGAAAAATACCCCATGTTTAAAAGTACAAAATTGTATTAACACTATTAAAGAACAGGCCTTTATGCTAAACAAATATTTCCATTGCATTAACGAGACAAATTGAAGAAAATTAGTTAATAAATATGAGAGTTATGAGGGGGTCCCTTAAAGTTTTTCTCCTCTGTAAGGGGTCCCTGAACCCAAAAAGTTTGAGAACCCATGAGATCACTAATAAATAAATAAAAAGTTGTTTTTCTTTTTTTAATTATTTTTTTTAATGCTATTTGGTAATAGTTACTATTGCTTTCAAAATAGAAAAAAGTTACATAAAACACGTTTATTTTGATAAAAATTCAGTTAAATAAGTCAAACTGCTCAACTATTAAAGTCTTAAAAAGTTATAAATTAAAAGGTCAATAAATACCTGAAGGATTGATGCATGAATTTTATGTCCAAAGTTCTTATTATGAAACAATAATGTTCTTTTTGTTACTTTAAATGTTCATTTTTTAACTTGATGCCTTATTCTTAATTCCAATCACTCACATTGCCCAGTTATTGTACCTCGTGGTGTGTTTTATTGTTGCTTTTACCTCTTTGTCCTGTAAAATGTGTACTTTGCTGAAGTTGACTGGGATGGCGTTCTCCCAGCTCTCTCTGTCACACAGCGGCTGGTAGAAGGCGGGGCTGATTAGCACGCTCCCACCTTTCGCCACGGTGGGCTCAGGAGGAGACAGCGGGTCGACGGGGGGCGTCCTGGTCGGGGCTTTTCCGTTCTCCTTACACTTCTTCATGCTCAGGTCCAAAGTGCCATTTTCATCCACCTCTATGAGCATATCCTGCAGAAACAAAGGTTAGATGAGCAAACAGACGGTTTAGATGTTACGTGTGTGAAACTGTAAACCAATACGACAGCAGTTTTTATGAAAACATATAAGCCAGTAACACGTTTAAAGATGAAAAGTGACTTAAAATGCAAACAGTGTTGTTTTTTTTTATAAAATATTACACACAGTGGTTATCTCACACCAGACAAAATACAGAACTAAGCCAGCATTAATTCCGCTGAACACAAAAAAAATAATCACTGGTGTGTAGTGTTTTTTTTTTTTTTTTTTCAGTGACAGCTGTGTCATCTGTTTTCTAGGACACACAACCAAGATGGCAGCTGGGAGTCAGGGTGTATATGTGTGTGTGTGTGGTGGTGGTGGTGGGGCTGCTTGGTTTTAGGTCATCATTATTATTTTAGCAAAAATTAAAAAGCCCTAATGTGGCATAAGTTCCCCCGCTGACAGATGTGTTTGTCGTTTTTGTGCTGAAACGCAGCAGCGCGGTGACTTATGGCTGTTTCAGGGTATTAAAAGTTGTACCTCGTTAAACGCTGAAATCCTTCCCTCATAAATCAAACCAATTACTCGATGCATATGTTTCATTAAAGCCCATCAATCGCTGTGCGTTTTATATTATTTCTGTTATTGTTTTTTTGCAACAAATGATGGTCTTTGAGTTAATTAAACGGATAATTCTTCTACACGTCCACTGTGGCTGTCCGGTTTAATTATCCAGTGTTTTGATGATGCTGTTTAACTAATGAAAATAGCATCAGGTTCAAACTGAACTTATTTATGTAATGATTTAATGTCAGCATCCACCTAGAGTAAAAACTCTTGACGAAGTTCTTGTGTTATTGATTTATTAGAAAAGGGGCCTTTTTTCAAGCTTTAAAGTCCAACTTTTTTTTGTTTAATCTCTGATGTAAGATGACAACGTGTAAAATACTTGAATATGCATGCAAGGTAAAGCATCCAATGCAACATAACACTCTAAATATGGCCACTCTTTTTCAGACAGCAAAGCTGTTCTTCATTTTCTGTGTCTATCCAAGACAACTAAGCTGCAAACGAGAACAGATGATTAACTTGCTAACACTGTTTTATTCATTCAGTGGGCTGGTACCTGGTACCGGGCCACATTCTCAGCTCAACAAGCTGGGAGACAAGGATCTGTGCTGTGTAGGTGTGGAAACCTTGAATCATCTACAGTGCAGTGTATGTAACCCACAGAATGTGATCAATATTAATCATGAGGCGAGTTGGGGAAAAAAGTTGACAACGCCGCGTCAGAGCTCAAACGACAGCCGGAGACGTTCCCGATCTGCGAGCGTTTCCATAAAGAGTTTGGATTTTGTGCGAATTAAACTTTCGATATGTTAACTCCTTCAGCTAATTGGCTTAATCCGCGAGGATGCTCTTTAAAGACGAGCTGCTGTAGACACACAGCCTATGCTGGATCAGACGACTAAGCAAAATATCCTCTGCCATCTGCAGTGGGCAAGATGCGTTCTCAGACAACAGTTCAAGGTTTTTACATGCCAGCTGATGTCGAAACAAATTACAGTGCCACATGTTTTACCCCCCTTTAAAAAAAAAATCAGAAAAAGACCAGCAGTTTTAATTTGAAAAGCAGGCCGAGTTTATTTCTTCTTTTGATGTGATCACACAGATTTCCATTTGTGTACATTAAAGCCGTACGGGGTGGAGATCTCCTTGTTTTTCCTGCCTCCAAAGTGCCGAGCTCGAGTTGCCAAATCCCATCTTTTGTTGTCTTCTCCTTTTATACACAAATCAGAGTTCCCTTCAAAATGACCACATAAAATACCTTTCCTAATTTGATTACCTTTGTGGAGGATGCCAAGGGCTGGCCGCTGATAGTCTCCATGTTCTTCCGGTAGCGGGTGGAGAGGTTAAGAATGGCGGCTGTCGCTGCCGCGGCCTGGAGACCGTCTTCTTTCTTGAATTGACTCGGCGGGCTGTGCTGACCGGAGATGGGCAGGCGGCCACCTGGAGCTCCAAGGACGCCAGGATACTGCTGAGGTGCTAAAAGACAAACAATTAGCGTAGCATTTAGTTAGTGGGACACCAGGTGTTAAACCCAAACAGCAAAGTGTTTTTTGTAGCTTGAGAAACAAACATAGCTTTAAAAAGATGAAGTGAAACGAAGATAAAGAGTTATTTGTACAGGACTTACAGTCAGGGTATTGGGACATATCCTGGTCCTGGTTGGCTCCCAGCAGTGGCTGTTTACCGAAGACCTGCGCGTCAAAGCTGGCGTAGTCGAAGCGAATTCTGCTGAACTTGTCCACGTCTTTCACGAGGCCATTTTGCAAAGCTGCTACTGGATGAGAGAACCTGTAGTTCAGCTGGTTCATTTCAATTTTCTTCATCAGGCTGATGGTCCTACAAGTAAGAAAACGGATAAAATAAAAATCAAAATTGTTCGTTGAATAAAAGAATTGCTCAAGAATAGCTGAGAAAAACAAAAGTTCACATAAAACGTCGATGTGTTTGAAGGATGCCGGTGCTTTTGTACACATGCAATCTGGAATCTGATGTGTGTTGTGGATCCGCAGTCAGGTTGCCAGACTAATTAATATAGAATGAGTGGGCACCCTGCCCATGATATATCCACAGGGAACAAAGAGTTCTGCTCTTTTATCATCTCTAATAGAGAGGAGCTCACAGGACCAGCAACCATCGCGTATGTCTGCTTGGAAAGCTCAAATTAAACCGTGGATGAATAAAAATATTTCACCCGTTCCTCAGTAACAACAGAGCTAAACCTTAACTATGTGTGTCTGCGTGTGACCACCCCGAGAGCATCTCGAGCATCCTCCGGTGTCATACCTTGGTGAGCGCTCAGGTGTTTGTCTGCATTTCAGGCTCTCGTCTTGAGGTTTGGAGACTTTCACTGCGGCGGCGATGGGGCAGCCAGAGAGACTGGTTGGGAACATTCAACACATCAGCTTAATAAAGTATCTCATCTGCAAACAGGGTGCAGCTTGTTCGTGTAGCCGTACCTCCGGTGGGTGCTGCGGTTGCTGTTGACATGGCCTCGTCCCGTGCACCCAGGTGTAGGACACTTGAGGACGTTTTCATGCATGGCCAGAACTAAAGGAACAAACAGATCGCATGTGCCGAAATAAGCATTTAACTGTTCAACGGTTGAGAAACAGTTAAGTCGAAAGATTGAAATATGCAAGAATTGAAAAGAAGAGCATAGATTTCCATGCTTTAAATGATAATTTACATGACTGGTACATTAGAGCTTATAGAGAAAAGATCCTACAGAGGAGGAGAGCAGAGGAAAACAGCTTGCTCACTGTGTGTAAATAGCTTAGTGCAAAAAGGAGCGAAACAAGACAGCTGATTATATTCTTCAAACCAAACGCGTTGTTAAAGGTCCGCTCTGTATCCTTAGAAACTTCCCTTCTGTACATATCCTCCAATTAGTTTGTTGGAGTTGTCTATTTATTTTTTTGAATTCTGCGCTCGCGAGCCCTTTGATGCGCAAATACTGCCTCCAGTCTAAGAGCATGTGCGTTTTAGCAAAAGTTAATTACTTTTTCTGTTCCTTTTGTAACATTACTGTTTAATGTGGAACGTTTGAGTTGGCTGAAATGACTAAACAATCGCCAGTTTGGGGGGGGAAAAAATGAAAAAGAATTCAACATTCAAACATTTCCACACATTACGAGGGGAAAAAAGAGAAATCTTTTAGGTTTATGTGTAAAGTTTGTGCACATCTTTGAATCCAAACGAATATATATATGCAGGCTTTTTTTTGTCTTTGCTCTTGCACTAAGAGGATTTCAGTCTCTGCGGCTGATTGTAAAACGGTAAAACAGGCAGTTTTGTGAGTATTAACCAAAAGCTGTTTTAGAGACTTACTCTCTGGGGGAACTCGGACTTTGTGAGGACACCCAGACAAACTCCTGTGATGCGGGTACAGGCCCGTTACATGACCGGTGCCATCACAGCCAGGAGTTGGACACTTTATATCTTTTTTATCCATCCGTGGAGAATCTGTGGACACAGTAACAGACGTCACATTGAATAAAAATACAAAAAAAGTTGTTTTCCTGTCTCAGATATTAAACTAAATAAGTAAAAAAGACTACACCTTGATCTTTTGTATGCTCTCCTGAAAATAAACTACCACTCGTAGGTCAACAGATTGAAATATCATGCAAAGACACTTTTCCTCACAACATGCATCTGTTAAGCTGTCATTTTAGTTAAGGCTGCAGTTTAACGCAGCATTCACTTCTTAATGCCCATCCATCGAAAGATTACATCTCGGATTAAACATTTATCTGCAGTCATTTGAAGAATCAGAGGGAAACATGAGAGGTACTTTAGGAGGATTTAAGACTTATGGTCATGGTTAAATATCCAGTTGATTCCTATCAAAATCCAATATTCTGAGTAGCACCAATTCCATAACAACAAATGTTCTTCTTTATTTTAGTCTGTTTATTTATTACTTCACTTGTTGCCAAAATGTTTTTAGGCCTTAAGAGGATTTCCTCCTTCTGATTCCCACCTCCTGCATATGCTTCTTTTATTTTTTTCAGTGTATTTCAGCACCCAGTCTTCTAAATCGCAAGTCGTGTGATTTAGAGGACGTGCACGTGGCTTCTGCTTTTCCATTTTTAAGGAGGTAGTTCAAGGAAAAGGTTTTGACCTATTATTATCTTACCTGTTTTAGATAGTTTAATTCTGTCTGGATTGTCATCTCAAAACAATTTTCATCTCAAATAATTCATATTGTTCATATGAACACTCTTTCATGAAGCTTTTCAGAGTTGCCAGCTTCATATTATACAGTTATTTAAATAGTGGTGATGTACAAGCCCAAACACCAGCAGCAGCTTTAGAAACTCCTGCTTGAAGCACATCCTACAGTAACATAATATTTCTGCCAGAATAATCACATAATTCAAAACTGATTTAGTAAAGATTTATAAAATAGCACTTGCATAAATTGTTGTGAATTTTTAAAGATTTTTTTTTTTCTTAATTCAAGAAGATTCACCTCAGTCTTGGCCCTGCTTAGCTTAGCTTTTAGCTCATCAGTCTGGTTAAAATTAAACTCCTGTTTCTCCAGACTGTTTCTTCAAAGAGCTATCTACAACAGGTAAGATATTGACTGTCAATCTTTCCTACTCAAACAGATCTGAGCTATTCCTTTAAGCACATTTTTTTTAGATAAGCATGTCTCGATGTATCTCCTTGATATTTATACCTTTCCCTCCGTTGTAGCTGAGTCTGTTGTCCATGTCCATCATCCTTTGGTGTCGTCTCTCATTGGTCATCTGCTCCAGGAGGAACCGGTCCATTTCTCTGTAGGCATGGTGCAGAACCTGCCTCTGCTCTGTCTGCAGAGCGATGGCCTCCAGCAGGCTCAGGTTCACTCTCCCTCGACTCATATCGAGGCCTCTCTCGTGGAGGCCCATCGCCCAGCCATCTATCCGAGGCAGCCGCTCCACCTCTGCCTCCCCCTCGCTGTCCTCCTCAGTGGGGAGAAGTCTGTACCTTAAAGCTTCACCTTGAAAAACACTTCCTCTACCTATTGGAACACCTAATTCTGAAACTAGCTCTTTCACGTGGCTGTTCCTGCCTAAAGGGTGTTCAGAAGCTCTGGACGGGCTGCAGTTTGAGCTATTGTCCTTGGCAGATAGAGACAGAGGCTCCCACTCGGCTTCCCTCATGTCTCCGTATGGGCTCTGTGGCGTTGATGCACCGCTCATCCTGTCTAGACTTTGGTCCTCTTCTTCATTAGTAAGAATCTCTTCATCATCTTCCACCATCAGATGTCCGGACGTGTCCGGCTCACACTGCGGAGATCCGTTAGACGTGACTTCGGGCCATCCCAGTAAACCGTGGGACTGTAACGCGACATCAGAGCAGCTGCTTTTGTTGCCCACGCCATTGACTGCTTTAAAGTTTCCATCTAAAAAAACAAAACAATAATCATTATTTTATGTGTTTCAGTCCTGTAATGTGTTTTTACCCTTCGTGTTCAGAATTGTATATCCTTAATCTTCTGCAAATCTTTTTAAGGTTTTAGATTTTGTCTTCTCTATGAATATTACCTTGAGAAAAACATGTTTTTTTTTAAAAACACGAGGATTTGTAAGAAAACACTCTGCAACAAGATGATAATCAACAGTCATAAGGTTGCAATACTCTTAAGCCATCCCGACATATTTTAGACAACATTCCTTCTGCTAGTTCGACATGAAACCCAGACATATGGAGCTTTCCACGTCGCTGTTGTTGTCTCCGTTTGGAGCAGCAACTCAATATAGATTTAGTACAAGATTATGAAAGGATTTACAGTGCATGGAAAGAAAACAATATTTTTGTATTAGTTATACATGTTTTTAAGTGCAACCTGACAAGCAGCAACATGTCATTTCACAAACCTCATAGAAAATGCTTCTTTGTGAGGATAAGAGGAAAAAAAAAAGAGAATGATTCAAGAAAACATGGAAAATAAAAAAATGAAATTGGTTTCTGTGGCAAAGCCTGAGAAACTATGAATATAGTGCAAACTTTTGGGGAGAGATTTTAAAGTGTTAAAATCACAGCAGTTAGTACACATAAAAACAGCCGAAATGCAAGTATTTGATTGAATTTATTGATTTACTTGTCTACGTTTTACATAAAACTGATGGCTCTGTGATATGGTATAGTCAAACTGCTAAAACCTGTTAGAAAAATCAAAATTATAAAGCTATTAGTGCTCATTTGACGGAAACCTAAAATAAAATTTGTGCAGTTTTTATTCAGAAATTTTATATATTGTACTCGGATAGGTGGGATTTATTTTTTTTAATATAGTAGTTTTTCTCCAAATCATCTTTGTGTTTTAATTATTATTCTATAAGCCGTGGATGTACTGAATCATTTGAAATATATATTTATCTCCTGTTTTTATGAGGCTTGGTTGGACAGAATATTATAAAAGGTGGTTGATTTCACAAAACATTCTAGTATAAAAGTGTTAAACAGACTGGCAGACAAACGAAGAAGCTTAATTATATATAAGAGATGTAACAAATTAGAAGATCTTTAACCAGAAAGTTCCACTTTTATTCAATAATATGCTCAGCTTTTTGCTTTAGAGGTTTTTTTATCTTTGTGTGGCGCACTTTGTTTTAATATTGCAGATTTTTCTGTCTCCATTTGGTTCTAAACTGTACATCCACTTTTATTTTAGTTTTTATCTTAAGCTTATATTGCTATAAGTGGTTTCAGTAATTTAATTTGCACTGACCTCTAGCTTTCCATCTTTTGAAATAAATCCCAGTGATATTCAGAAAGACTTTAGGAAGCCTTAACATTGATCTGTGGAAGTAACAAAGAGGGTTATCTCTGGAAATGCATCTGAAACAACACTTTATTAACACGGCTGATCACGCTAAGTCAGGGTCAGTGATTAATAACGGAAAGCTATCATCTGAATTGATTCGACAAAAATCTCTCTTGATCCTCCAACCGTTTAAACTTATGCTGCATTAAAGCTCTCTGGACAGTGGGGGGTGTTACTTTACGTTGGCAGGACCAGAGGTCTTTATATCCACTTAAGTAGCTCCACATTAGAGTCCAAAGCAAAAGCAGGATTCAGTAGCTTGAGAAGATTGAAAGAGATGGAGTGTGAGAATCAGCTCACACAGGGCAGAGGACGTTACAGATATGGCATTAGCAGAAAGCTGCGACTTAATAATGTAAAAAACTTAATCCTGATCAAACCAGCTTTAAAAACACAGGAATTACATCGTGCTCCTAAAACAAAACTAACTGTTTAGGAAAATACTGGATTTTGTCCATTAAGTATAATTTGCTAGTCTGACTTTTTTTTTTTTTTTTTTTTTCCGAGCAGCTTTAAACATCCGTATAACCTGCAGAGGAAAGAGAATAGTGAGGCAAACCTTGTTGAATGATAAATTAAAGTCAGTTACACATATTTACATTTACCAGACAAGCAGCAAGGCTTTTTGTTTTTCATCCAGATGGACTCCCAGGCCTGACACAGCCGCATGCAGTCTCTCACACACACACACTCACACACACACACACAGAGAAGTGCAGTGGGAAAAAATGGAAAGCAATGGAGGAAAAAAACTTGGATCCCTCCGGTGGTTTGTGTGTTGGAACAGGTGAACAGTTTGTACTCCAGAATAGCCATTACCAGCACTCTGCAGCAGGGCTGCAGTTGGCTGGAGCTGAACGCAGCGTGGCTCAACAAAACAAGAGGCTTATTTTTCTCCCTTTTTGTTAAAATGCAGATATGAACAGCTTCCCACTGCAAAAATTCTTGCTGCTTCCAGTCCGCTTTTCCAATTTTTTGTTTTTCCACAGAAAATAGCCCCCAAATCTGACAATAACAGCAAAATATGCTGCAAATATGTTTATCAATATTCTCGTCTTTTTTGTGACAGATTTCAGACTTATTTTTTGTGCTGGCTGATTTTTTTTTTTTCAAGCAACTCTTATTAGTTACGATCCCACATAAGAAAAATACACAACAGTCAGCAAGTTGATGATTAAAAAAAAAGTATTTGGAGTACTTATTACAAAAGGAAAGCCTGATGATGCACCGTGAAATACCTAAATGAGTGTAACGTAACATGAACCCAGCAAACAAATAAAACATTTTTTCTAATAAATCCACACAATTTGGTGAGCGACTCTCCGGGTCCATTTAACTACACACATGTGTACTATAATGAGCTGAAGACATTATGCCTAATTATGTATTAGACTGTGTTAGAGGGCCTAACAAAAGCTTTTGAAAGGGACAATTACGTTTGTTGCTTAGTTACATCGTTAAAAATATACCAAATCAGTGCAGATTATAGTGGGCGAGAATGCACATGTACACCACGAGCTTTGTTGCCAAAATGCACAAAATTCAACTAATCTAGAAAAAAAATGCATTTGTGTGTGTGTGTTGTTAACAAATTGTTTTTGTAAATAAAAAAGATAATATTGGATTTTCCTATTAGCGAACTTCAGTGTTTTCTATAAATGTCCGGAGGAAGTTTTAATTTAAATCAAAGTGAGATGGTGCACGCCGCCATTCATTTTGTCATTGTATGGAATAAATGGGCTTCCTCTGGTGTTTAAAAAAAAAAAAAATGGACAGATGAGGGTGTCTGAAATCTGGCCTCATCAAAAGAGGGTAAAGCCAAAAATATCATGGCAGATCAGCTGTCAAAACTTCAATTTGTGGACGTGAGACACAACTAATATGGGCCCAGCAGTGTAGTCTTTCACTTCCTCTGCACAATGACTGCGGCTGCTGGCTAATGGCAGAGGGAGGGGAAATATGAATGCAACAGATGGGATTTTAAAATTCAGCGTCAATTGTTCATCAAAACAGACAAAACAACAGGACATCTGTTTACCTGCTGGAGTGTCAATGTTCCTCAGCTCTTCTTTGTCCTGTGGCGGTGCCAGGTCCTCGCTCTCCTCTTCACATGCCTCGCTGGGGCTGTAGTGGCGGGGCTTCATCAGCAGGGACTTTCTCTTATTGACTGGGGCACCCTGCACCCCATCCTGAGCGCTCCTCTTCCTCGCCACGGTCCCATATGGGCTGGTCAAAAAGAAAAGGCGGGGTCAACAGAGGTCTCGGGATGCTCATTTAAATAAAGCTCAATTCAAAACTTATTATGCGTTAAAAGAGTCGTGTAAGATTCTCGAAAGACGATACTTCCTGTCAGGCGTGAAGATAAATAAAAATACCTTTGCGTTTCAGTGACGTTATCAGCCAGTCCTGCGTTAAAAAAAACAAAGAGCGCCAAAATAAAAGATCAAAAGTCCTGTTTACATTTCCACCACAGCATATTCAGCGTACTCTTCATCAAAGCTTCGCTCACTACTTTTGGACTATTGCTAATAAAATTTTTACAATGCCCTGTAAATATTTGTTTTGAATGATATGACCTGGGCCTTTTACCACAGATTTTTTACAATACTGCCTTATCAGTGTAATCGGCAGCGGGATGTAGGAGTGGACTCTTTATTGATCTGAAAAAGCTTCTCATTCACTCTGCTCGTTCTCCTGGAAAAGCAGAAGTGGCTCATCCTTTGGACAGCACTGACAACATGATCTCAAAGGGTAAATCAATTTCCCCAGAGGGGGGCCCCCGGCATAAATCTCATTCACAAGTTCTACCACGACTCCCGTGAAGCACAACCAATAATAACACTTTTTATGAATCCGCCCAGATGTGGTAATAGCTCCATCACGAGCAGGAAGGCCTCCGAGGCCCCTGAACGCTTGCATAATGGCACATATTCCGCTTAGAGGTTTTCAATCACACAGTATATACGCACACTCCTTAACTAATTTGAGCGCGTGTTCCAATTTAATGAAGTTATTCCCCTCTGAATAATAAAATAGCTGTGCAGTGCTCTTCAGGCTGTGAAGATGAGACATAAAAGTGACAGTTATAAAGTTGGATTGTTGAACTGATACCCCTAACCTGTGACGATAAGTGGAACATGCGTGCTGGAGTGTGTTGATGCGCGTCCAAAAGCAACTAATACCATAAAAAGTGTGCACTCACCCGTGCTACTGTTGCACGTTTTCAAGGTTTGCTCCTCACCTTCAGAATCCATCTGTAAGCAAACCCACAAAAAGATAAGCAACTAACAAAATATTCCTCTTTTTTTTGGAACTAGGAGATTTTTACATCTGTATTTGTGCAGGACATCCCAAAAGACTTCTAAGACAGAGGTTCTCAAACTTTTTGGGTTCAGGGACCCCTTACAGAGGAGAAAAAATGTAACATAATAGTGTTAATACTAGGGATGCACAATATTATCGGCATGGTATCAGCCGATGTTAGCGTTAAAGTTAAATATCGGACATCGGTCATTCCATCAAAATAACTCATCGATATAAAAGACACTGTTTTTGTACGACAACCCAGTGACAAGGATGCCTGCAGCGCCAGCACAACGTGATGACGTCACGCGCGCCTACCTGATCTGATCACAGCGGAGAGGAAGAAGTCAAAATGTCGGCGGTGTGGAAGTTTTTTTTCTTTGAGGTTATTTGATTCCAAAGATTTCTGGTCTACGTTGAGCCTCGCTACATCGTCCCCAGTCAGATATATTTTTTGACGTAGCCTTACCCGAGTTACAAGCCGTCATTTCTGACGTCATTGAGAAGCTAATAGCTGATAGCACTTGGGTGAGTTTTACCACAGACATTTGGACGTCATGTTAGCCCCGTTAGCATGATTAGTCTTTCGGCACAATGGATAGACAAAAACTTTGATCTTAAAAAGGCTGTCCTTCGTGCACAAGAGTGCAGAGGATCCCACACTGCAGCTAAGAACCTGGAACAAGCCTCCACAAGTGAGACAGCGTCACAGGTGACTAATGCTAATAAATGACATTTAACACTTTTCATTTAATATAAGTTAAAGTGCTATGCATATCATATGGCTGTTACTGAATATATGTCACCAGCTCTTACAGCTGTTAAACAATTTTTGTAGCAAATAAGCCTAAATAAGAGGGCTATGTTCTGACAAAGGAAAGTATATAAAATATTGGTATCGGTCAAATAAGTTTTAACATATCGGCCAAAAATCCAATATTGTGCATCCCTTGTTAATACAATTTTTATACTTTTAAACATGGGGTATTTTTCATTCAAGACACATTTAATTAACAAATTTTTTAATTTCAACTACCAAAAATTACAGTTTTGAGAAAATTAACAGTATCAAAAACCACTTTAAAACTTTACCTGTTCATATAATGAACACAATAAATGTATCGCCACTTCTTCAAATTATTACAGAAAACTCCTAAAATAAAACTGAACAGAATCATAACAGCAGCAGTCATACCAAGTAACAGGGCTTAATTTGTAAACTGATCGATGCCACAATGTAAATAGCAGGTGGGGTAGAGGTGGGGGCGGGGCGTCTGGGGGTCCTCCTCCTGAATTTTTTTTAATAAAGTAGATGCGATTTCCTGCATTTTGGTGTATGTTAACGAGTTGTTAAACATCTATGTGCTTATACATATATATATATATATATATATATATATATATTTTTTTTTTTTTTTTTTTTTTATTGATTATTTTTTTTATTTTATTTTATTTTTTGCGGACCCCCAAACACCCGTTCGCGAACACCTGGGGGTCCGGGGACCCTAGTTTGAGAACCACTGTTCTAAAACACCAGTATTATTCAAACACACAAAGAATAGTATCAGGAAAAAAAAAGTTTCAAGCATGTGTACAAAATATGATACGAAATAATGACATTAAAGTGGAGACGGTAACTCATAGTGTGTGTTTAGACAAAAATAGTTGCTAAAATCCATCCACTCTCACTGGCTGCTGCTTGTGGATCCCAAATAAAACCTATTAAACATAATTATCCCAGGATGGTAGCAGCATATAGTGGTCACAGGCCAGTGAAATCTGTGAGTCATAGGATATGCTGTTACTTTTCCCTGGTAATGGGAAACATGACTCCTCTCTCTCGTTTGCTGTTGTGATTGAAGGCACTGACCTGTCATACATTTATAATAGGGGAGCAGGTGTGGCAGTGATGGACCTTAATTTCCTTTAATAAACCTTTTATGTGCCACACTCTTAATGCCACGCCGGGCCCTCAGAGGTCCTGCTCATAATAGGTTCATTACTTTTGATTACCGCAGCCTATTGAGACAAACAACTCCAAAACACTATAGATTACGCTCTGTAAAAATGAATGTACCTCGTTAGTTTATAACACTTTTCCAAACAGACACCTCTTCAACATTTTGTTTATGTTTGGTAATCTGAATGCAAACTGTTCCTCGTACATTCTGCAGCTTGAGATTATAACGTGAGCAATAATCTGTTCATTTTTATGTGAAACTAAAATATCACCAACTTTTATTATCGCCTGTTTATTTCTGCCTTTGTGTGACATCTTAGATGAACGTCAAGTCTACATATCTTTAAATACATAGTATTAAAACCGTATGTTTAGAGTATTTGAATTTGTTCTCGAGAATACGTTTGTTAAATCATAATAATAATAGTAATATTATTAGTAATAATAATATTCTGGTGTTAAACCATGCAATGTGTATTGCTGTAGTAAAACAACGAGAAAGGCCTCGGTAAATATTTGCTGTGTGTGAAGAAGAAAACGTCTTGGTAAGGCATCGACACGGACAAATATTTAATGCCAAGTGTTTATGAAAGCAGAACAAACAATAATCATAATCAGGATCAGACTGAGAACTCGTTCCCTAAACAATGTGTTCATTTGCTTAATAAAACTCTTTGTTTGTTTATTTATTTATTTATTTATTATTTGGCTAACAGTTTGCTCAAATAAACTGTAAACTGTAGAACTTTTAATAAATAGTTTTGATGTGTTCATTCATTTTTTTATTTTTTTATATATTTCTTGACAACAAAATGAGATAAAAATTAACAGTGTGTGTGTGTGTGTGTGTGTGTGTGTGTGTGTTTAGCAGGAGTGGGCAACGTTTTGTCCAGAGGGCCAAATCAAGATATTAAAAGCAATCAACGGGCCTCATAAAGAATTTAAAAATACATTTTCTTTAAAACATACATACACATAGAATACATTTTTCAGGCTTTTTCTTGTAGCATGCTTGATAAAAAATGTGTCTCCCCAAAAATCTTTAGGATGTGAGACTCTGTAAACTTTATCCTAAGAAAGTACATTTGTTAGCTTAAATATGCTAACTAAAATTTTAAATTAAAACAAAAAATAAATCCACTTAAAAATATGGTTTTAGCCATTTTTTAACCCAAAGATTTTTGATTTATTTGTCAAAAGATGCTTAATTTAGATTTCTTTGAATTTAATTGATACAATGCAAGTTTTCATCAACTTATTTAAGTTGTTTTATTTTCAGTTAAGGATATTGGGGGCCGGATAGAGATTGTTCAAGGGCCACTTTTGGCCCTTGGGCCATACGTTGCCCACATCTGGTGTATAGTATACACAACAAAACACGGTTCTGCATTTAAAAAAAAATTCTCGGCTTGTTTTAGGTCTTAAACTTTGGTTTCTTAACTTGTAATATTTAGAATAATTTTCCAGATATAATGACTCATGTTCGTGCTGCTGTTTGGAGTATTGTTTTAGTACTACTAGTGCTTATGTATTTTTAGTTAATGTTTTTCTTAGTTCATATCTTAGATCTTATTACTGTTTTTCTTTTACATTTTATACTTTTGTTGGATGTAACTTGGACCCTGTTTACACAATTTCGTTCCATCACATGCACCACATGTGGTGCGAATGACAAACAAAGAAACTCTGACTCTCTGATATAAAGACATCAGTTAAAGCCACTAAAAACATTGTTAGACAGTTATTATTCCACTAAACAAAACATAATTTCATTACTCATTTCAATAAATAATTTCACTATTTATTTTCAAGTCTCTCTAAATGAGTCCCTGAGGTTCAATGGGATTAACCTGTATAAATAAAGGTTGAATGAATTACAACACAGTTATTCTAAGTATATAACTTTTACTGTATGAATTGTATTTTTTCTACGTTCCATCCATTTTGATTTTTTTTTTTTTTTTTTATAACTTTGTGCGTTTTGGTCTTTAGCTTTTAGAACATTTAAGAAAAAACGTCACTTCGGCTTGCATTTTTTTATTTATGTTTTTGTGCAGTACTGGTCGAGTTAATAAAACGTATAGCTGTAGTAGTGATTTTTTTTTTCTGAAGTTTGTGTGATCTTTCAGAGAATTTCAGTTTATTATCTACCAGATGTGCAAAGTTCATTTGAAGAAAAAAACATCAGTTTGTGATCGTGAGCCTGCTTCTAATCCAAACAGTTTCCAAACCGTTTGTCTCTATTTCCTCTCTAACAAAACTTTTATTTTGTATTCTGTCTGCGCCACTTCTGCAACACACTGTTCACCTCTGAATGCCGTTTTCTGAGCGTTCTGTAGGACAAGATGCCAGCTCCTCTCTGCTCACCGCCGCTGATGCTTTCACGCTTGTTACCTCTCAGGAAGTGATCGTGTAGTTCATTATCTACAACAGAAAACAAACAAACAAACAAGACAACACACTTTAACTGTGTTACTGTAGCTTTAGGAAGTCAACTTTACAAGTTCAAACCAACTTTTCAAGCTTTTAAGTGATACATTTTTTTTAATTTATTTTTTTAATCTTTGTTTGACATCCAGTAAGAAAAAGATGGAAGGAGCACATTAACTGTTGGAGTGAGGAACAGGATGCAAATTGATTGCTTGACAAGAGATCAAATTGCTTGCTTCTAATTAATACAAAATATCCAAGAGGGAAAACAAGGATGAACACAATGAGTACATTAAGCCTCTTCACTTCACAGATCTTATTATAGAATTATTTATTTCTGTTAGCTTTAAAGAGAGAGAGAGAGACGTTTTCTTAATTATAGCTCACAGAGAGTCTTCCCAGAAAAAAAGATAGAAAAAAATAAATTGGGGGAAAAAAGCAAGTGGGGTAGAACGAGGGGGTTATTCACTTAGCTTCATTTGCATATGAAAAAGTCTTAGCCTACTACTATTCTGGCTGGTTTGTCATCTGCTGAATCATATTTATACCCTCTACACACACACACACACACACACACACACCCTAGTATAAATAAT